TTGCGGGATCATGTAATTCTTTCAAACGTGAAAATGTGAAAATTTTTCACATGAACTTTTTCGCCATGTACCTTGGTGGCGGAAAGATGGAAATCTAGGGAATTAATAAATATGCTTCGAAATTAGAGAAGATTAGGGCTGCGTTAGGATTAAGTGTACGTAGTACATATACAATTGGTTATTAAAAGATGTATATAATACTATACTAATAAAATAATTTTCATTAGCTATAAAATCTATGAAAACTATGTTCCATGATTTCACTTTCCACGCATCCAAGCTACATAATCGCTGTACGTGAAAAGTTTCCTGGCCCTGGACGGGATTCTGTACTCACTTATCGACAACTATCGATATTGTTAACTAATGACAGCCAATGACGGCCGCGCTTTTTTCCAAGATCGTCCTTGCCATTGGCTGTCGTTATTTAACGATACCGACGGTTGTCGGCGGACATGTACAGAATTCGGCTCTGAAGAATATTGGAACGTTGCTATAGTTCGATGATTTATGCTGGCGTGTATGATTGTGCGGATGTCGTCGATTGTTATCTAATTTCGTGTAGTGTGAGAGTAATTGTGAAAGGTAAATAATTGTGCGATACGAGAGATAGCAAAATCGAAACAATATGGTGAGTTTTTTTAGCTATGCTACAGATCAAGAATATAATAAGAAAATCATCGCAAATGACTTACGTTATATTTCTTTTGCAGATGCAATTTATGCTGCTGTTTAGCCGTCAAGGGAAACTTCGTCTACAGAAGTGGTATGTTGCACATCCCGATAAATTGAAAAAGAAAATCACCCGCGAGCTGATCACCACGATACTTGCGCGAAAACCAAAAATGTCGAGTTTCTTAGAATGGAAGGATGTTAAAGTTGTTTATAAAAGGTACACAACTAATAATAAGTTTATTGATGTTTATTTTTTATCAATATCTATTAATTTTAACTTCTATTTAGTTTACTTTTGCTTTTTCTAATTCTTAGAACTAAAAAAAGCTAGAAAGTAAGTAAGTTAAATCGAGATTAAAGTTAATTTATGTTAGTAGAAAAGGAGAAAAGAGTTCAACCAACTTTGATTGAACATATACAAATAAAGTTGTTAATCATTTAATTTATTAATGTGGAAAAAATATAATTCATATAGTTTGAATTTTTGTTTTGAGCAATTTTGCTAAATTATCAACTAATCAGACTTTAATCAAACTTGCTCCAATTTATAATTTCGTGTTCTATAATATAATTGCTTTTTTTTGTCTGGGAGAACAGCTTTGAGTTTATATTTGCAGATATGCAAGCTTATATTTTTGCTGTGCAATTGAACAGAATGACAATGAATTGCTGACATTGGAAATTATACATCGATATGTTGAGTTATTGGATAAGTATTTTGGCAGTGTGAGTATTATTGAAATATAAATTTAAAATGCACTAAAATGTTCTTTATTATTCAATTGTTAAAACATTAATAATATATGTTATTAGGTATGCGAATTGGATATAATTTTTAATTTTGAAAAGGCATACTTTATCCTAGATGAGCTACTTGTTGGTGGGGAAATTCAAGAAACTAGCAAAAAAAATGTATTGAAAGCCATCGCTGCCCAGGACTTGTTACAGGAGGTTAGTTACGGGGATGTACCCCTTGAATTGTAACATGTTTTCATTTATTAATAGCACACAAAGGTTGTATACATGTTTTGTTTTATAGACAATTTTGTCTGTAAAAGAGATTTTTAGATCGTTTTATCTTGCTATTAGGTTAAATTCTTTACACTTTACAGATATTTTTAGATTGTTTTATCTTTGTTATTATATAAAATTTTTTTATACTTAACATATATTTAAAAAGCCATCTAGCAAAACTATATCTATGGATAGAAAGTACAAATAAAATATATTTGCATAATATTTAATCCATATTTACTAATATGTTAAAACGATCTATACTAGCTATTACTCCTTCTCTTCTCGCTAGTCATGCGTTGTTTTGATTAAACAATCATGGCGATGCAAGATTTAAACACATTAAAATCTATCTAACTAGGTAGAAATTATGCAGTCGAATTATTTTTAGTTTTCAGATTTAATTCTTTGTAATTTAATTAATAATTTATTATTTTAATGATTATTTTTATAGAAATAAGCTTGTGAAGTATACCAGTGATTTTTTTTCAATATAATTGAATTTTTTCATATGTAAAAATGCATTTAATATCTAGTATGATAGATTTCTGAAAATGGATACTTACAAGACATGCATGAAGGCATTTAAAAATATTAATAATTGCCTCTGTATATGAAACAATTCGAATTGTTTCTAGCTTTAATATTGTCTGTCTTCTTGCATAACTATAATATTGTATATATTATATATATCTATAGATGTATGAGCTTTCTTTTTTGTTGACAATTCTGTGTTATTTTAATATTTGATGTTGCACGATGTGATTGAACAATATTTAGCTTTTGCATTTACGTTGATACTGTTTCGTGTGTGCGTGTGTGTGTATATATATATATATATATATATATCCTAATGTTTATGATTTATAGTACATTTACAAGTTATTTCACACGTGCTGTCTTATATATAATCATACCGAATATGACAGAACTAGTTGACTCTCAGTGCCTCGTACATTATATCTTTGTATGTCAATTGTTATAAATATTGTAAATCATAGAGAAAAATTTCAAAATTAATAGCTTTTTTTATATCAAGTTTCTGATCTCTCTTCTATCTGTTAAGTGCCTCTATTATAAATACAACATTTAATTATTCTACATATTCCAACTGTCTTATTTTTCTTTTTAAGCATGAATATTGTCTGTATTGTAATATATGATATAATAGAGAAAATTGTAAAATAACAAGTATTATAAATATTAAAAATATTGAATGTTTTTATAGGCAATTCTGCGTGCGTAAATGCTTGTATATGCTTCTCGTTTAAACTTTACAAATGAGCTTGTATAGTACTTTATTGTTAACATTGCCATTGTTCCATTGTTATTGACAGCATTAAGTATCTATGCAGCAGCAATTGTATATTCTGCAATTTATATTACTAAAAGATATTTTTTGAAATTTATATTATTTTTTTATAAATATATAAGAGAGAGAAATAGTGAGCACATCAAGATTTTTGAGATTTTAACTATAACTTAAAATGAGGAAAAAATATAAAAGAAAGTAT